TATACTGTGCACCCAAACCTAATACAATTGTAATATGTCAATTATATCTCAAAAAATATATATAAAAAATTAAAATGTTAGAGAGAAGTGTCAAAAATCTACTATTTTTAACCTGAGACATTTCCATTGACATAATAATAAAAATAATTTAAAAGGGGGAAAAAAAGAAAGAAAATTAAGTTCTCTTAGAAGAATTAAGATGACTTTTTGTACATCTAAAAAAAATACACACATTTCTAAATAATACATGGGTAAAAATTACAAAATATATCAAACTAAATTATTATAAAAACACAATAGAAGAATTTGTAGAACACAGCTAAAACAGAGGCTTGGAGGGAATGTTATAGCTTTAAATGAATACAAAAGTAGAAAGATTTTAAATAAACAATCAAGTTTAAGAAGATAGAAAAAGAAGAGCAAATTAAAACCAAAGTAAGCAGATCAGAATTTTAAAATCTGAAATCAATAAAATTTTTAAAAACCAAGCAATAGAAAAATTAACAAAGCCAAAATTTGGTTCTTTGATAAGATTACTGATTGATAAACTTTTAACAAGACTGATCAAGAAACAGAGAGGGCTCAAATTATGAATATCAAGAATAAAGAGAGTATATCTCTATAGATTTTAAAGACATTAAAAGGATAATAAAGGAATATTATATCTATATACCAATAAATTTAACAATGTAGATAAAATGGAAAAATTCCTTGCAAAACACAATTTACCAAACTGACACAAGAAGAAATGTTTGAATAACTCTCTTTTCACTCAAAAAATTGAATTTGTTAGTACACACCTTCCCATTATGAAAGCTTCTGGGGCTTCCCTGGTGGCACAGTGGTTGAGAGCCCGCCTGCCGATGCTGGGGACACGGGTTCGTGCCCCGGTCCGGGAAGATTCCACATGCCGCGGAGCGGCTGGGACCGTGGGCCATGGGCCTGCGCGTCTGGAGCCTGTGCTCTGCAATGGGAGAGGCCACAGCAGAGAGAGGCCCGCGTACCGCAAAAAAAAAAAAAAAAAAAGAAATTTTCTTTTTAAAAAGGGGGAAGGGGGGAGTATAAATTGGGATATTGAGATTGACATATACACACTACTATATATAAAATAGATAACTAAAAAGAACCTACTGTATAGCACAGGGAACTCTATTCAATACTCTGTAATGACCTATATGGAATAGAATCTAAAAAAAAGAGTGGATATATGTATAACTGACCCACTCTGCTGTACAACAGAAACTAACACAACAGTGTAAATCAACTCTACTCCAATAAAAAAATTAATTTAAAAATAATATTTAAATTTAATTTTAAAAAAAGAAAGCTTCTATTTTGTAGTCACTTTGCTGTACAGCAGAGACTGACACAACATTGTAAATCAACTATACTTCAATTAAAAAAAAAAGAAAGAAAAAGAAAGCTTCATGTTCAGATGACTTCAAATAGCATATTACATCAAACTTTAAGGAATAAATAACACAATCCCTTCAGAAAACAGAAAATGAAAGTACACCCTCCAACTTATTTTAGGAGGCCATCATGACCCTGAGAAAAAATTACAAGTATGTAAATTACAGACCCCAACCCTCATAAATATAGACATCAAAATCTTTATAAAAAAAAACTATCAGCAAATCAAATCCAGAAGAACATAAAAGAGGTAATTCATCATGACAAAGTGTGGTTTATTCCAAGAACAAAGCAAGAATGTCTAATTTTACCATTTCTATTCAACACTGTACAGAAAGAACTAGACAAGGATAATAAATAAAAGATCAAAAGATAGTAGAATTTACCAGTGAAGCCATCTGGGCCTAAAGTTTTCTTTATGGGAAGCTTTTAACTATAAATTCAATTTCTTTAATGGATAGTGAGATATTCAAGTTATGTATTTTTTCTTGAGTTAACCTCAGTAGTTTGTGTCTTTCAATAAATCTGTTCTTTTCATCTAAGTCAGGGGTGAGCAAACATTTTCTGTAAAAGGCCACATAGTAAATATCTCAGGCTTTCCTGGCTATATGGTCTTCTCACAACTACTCAACTCAGCCATTATAGTACAAAAGCAGACACGGATAAATATAAACAAGTATGTGTGTCTGTGTTCCAGTAAAACTTTATTCACAAAAGAGGTGGCAAGTGAATTAATGTCAATTAGTCAAGTTAGTTGATGGTGTTGTTCAAGTCCCCTATATCACTGCAGATTTTCTGACTATGTTAATTATGAGAAGAGGATATTGAAATCTCCAACTATAATTGCCAATTTGTCTTTTTCTCTCAAATTCTCTCAGATTTTGCTTCACATATTTTAAAGCTGTTATTAGCTACAAACACGTGTCCTCTTGATGATCTAATTCTTTTATCCTTATGAAATGTCCCTCTTTATCCATGGGAATATTCCTTGTTCTAAAATCTACTTTGTCTAATTAATATAGGCATTCTAGCTTTTTTTGGATTAGTGTTTGCATGGTATAATTATTTCCATCCTTTTATTTTTTGTTTGTTTATTTTCCCAGAGAGCATATATTTGGGTCTTACTTTTTTCTTTTATCTAATCTGATAATCTCTGCCTTTTAATTGGAGTATTTAGGCCATTTTAGATCATGTGATTATCATTATAGATAGCCTTATATCTACTATCTTGCTATTTATGTGTTTGATTTATTCTTTATTCATTTTTTCCTATTTTCCTGATCTTTTTTATAAAATTGAATGTCTTTTATGATTCCATTTTATCTCCCTTATTGGTATATCAGTTATACCTTTCTCTTTCCTTGTTTCCTCTTTTCCTTCTTCCTTCATTCCTTCTTTCCTTTTTTAATTTTTTTGGCTGCTCCACGTGGCTTGCGGGATCTCAGTTCCCTGACCAGGGACTGAACTTGGGCCATGGCAGTGAAAGCCCAGAATCCTAACCACTAGGCCACCAGGGAACTCCCTTTTCTTTTTTTTCTTTTTTCTTTTTCTTTTTTTGGATGCTCAGAGTCTCCATTATATCTTTAATCACATTCTTCCTCCAAATAATATTATACCACTTCATGTATATCAAATGCACCTTACAATAGTATACTTTCTCTCCCTCTTCCTGGCCACTGTCAAACATTTTACTTCTACCTATGTTATAAATTCCACAATAGATTGTTAATATTTTTCTTTTAATCAGGCATTAATCTTTTAAAGGTATCTTTTAAAATTAGAACAAAAGTGTTTTATAGTTATACTCATATTTATCATTGCTAAACTTCTTCATTTCCTTACATAATTCTAAATTCCCATGTGGTATAATTTTCCTTCTGGAAGAAGAACTTCCTTTAATATGTATTTTAGTGGTCTGTTTGCAATGAATTCCTCATCTTTTGTTCATCTGAAAAAAATTTTAATTTGCCTGCATTTTTATTTTTAATTTATTTATTTTTATTTTTGGCTGCGTTGGGTCTTCATTGCTGCACGTGGGCTTTCTCTAGTTGCAGTGAGCAGGGGCTACTCTTCATTGCAGTGCATGGGCTTCTCATTATGGTGGCTTCTCTTGTTACAGAGCATTGGCTCTAGGCACGCAGGCTTCAGTAGTTGTGGCACACGGGCTCAGTAGTTGTGGCTCACGGGCTCTAGAGCACAGGCTCAGTAGTTGTGGAGCACACGCCTAGTTGCTCCGCGGCATGTGGAATCTTCCCGGACCAAGGCTTGAACCTGTGTCCCCTGCATTGGCAGGCAGATTCTTAACCACTGTGCCATCAGCGAAGCCCCTGCCTTCATTTTTTTAAAGGTATTTTTGTATGTTGACAGGGTTCCCCTCCCACACAAAAGTACTTTACAGGTGTCTAATTTTGTCTGACTTGCATAGTTTCTGATGTGAACTATGCCACTGTGTTTTTTCCCCTCTGGCTGCTTTTAGGATGTTCTATTTATCACTGCTTTTCAAGAGCTTGATAATAATGTGTCTTCATGTTTCTTCTGCTTGATATTCATTGAATATCTCTGATTTGTAAATTTATAGTTTTCATCAAATTCTGAAAAATTTTGGCCAATATATTTTCTGTCCTCTTTCTGAAGCTTTAATTTTAAATATATTTGATTGCTTGATATTGTACCATAAGTAACTGAAGTTCTGGGTTTTTTGGGGGTTTTTTGGAGGTGGAGGGTCTTTTTTCCTCATGTGTTTATTTTGGATATTTTCTAATGATATGTCTTCAAGTTAATTAACTTTCCTGGGACTTCCCTGGTGGTCCAGTGGTTAAGAATCTGCCTTCCAATGCAGGGGACATGGGTTCAACCCCTCATCGGGGAACTAAGACCTCACATGTCACGGGGCAACTAAGCCCATGTGCCAAAACTTTAGAGCCCGCACACTGCAACTACAGAGTCCACGCACTCTGGAGCCCACTCGCCACAACTAGAGAGAAGCCCGTGTGCCTCAACGAAAGATTCCGTAAGACCCAGAGAAGATCCTGCATGCCGCAACTAAGACCCGATGCAGCAAAAATAAATAAATAATTTTTTAAAAAATTTAACCTTTCCTTCTGTAGTTTCTAGTCTATTGTTGATTCCATTCAGTATATTTTCATTGCATCATTTCAGATATTGTATTTCTCATCTGTGGAAGCATAATTTGGTTTATTTTTAAAATATCTTGCCTTTTTCTCTTTATAATGTTCAATGTTCATCTTATCTACTGAACATATGAAGTGTATTTATAATAGCTATTCTAACATCCTTTCTGCAAATTCTTTCATCTTTGTCATTTCTGGTTCAGTTTCTAATGACTGATTTTTCTCCTGGTTATGGGTTATATTTGCCTCCTTTGCATGCCTGATAATCTTTTGCTGGATTCCAGACATTGTGAATTTTATGTTGTTGGTGCCAAATTGTCTTGAGCTCTTTTCAAAATTGTTGGCTTTTGTTATTGGACACAGTTACTTGGTACCAGTTTGATCCTTTTGAGGCTTGCTTTTTGACAAGAATTAGTAAGCAGAGGCAACTGTAAGCAGGGATAAGCAGGGGCTCACCTTATTTTCCTTCTCTCAGGAATCACTGTCCTGTACTGCCTGTTGTCCAGTATCTGAAAACCGCTGTTTCATATATTTTCGTTTTCCAGTTGTTTCAGATGAGAAAATAAATCCAGTCCCAGTTACACCATGATGGCCAGAAGTTCAAAAGAAAGAAGCAACTGCCAAAATCAGTAAATTTAGCAAGGTTACAGGATATAGGTCAAAATACAAAACTCAACTGTATTTTTATACACTACTAGCAAACATTCGTAAAAAAAAACTTTCACAATATTTTCAGTTATAAAAGCATCAAAATGTGAGTACTTGGGAATAAATGTAACAAATGACATGTAAGACCTCTACGCTGAAAACAATAAAACATAGCTGAAAGAAATTAGATAAGACCTAAATAAATAGAGTGTATCCTATCCATGGACTGTAAAATTCAACATTGTTAAAATGTCAATTTTCCTCAAATTTACCTTTAGGTTCACATTAATCCCAATTATAATTCCAGCAAGATTTTTTAAACAGAAATTGACAGGTTGATTCTAAACATATTTATGGAAATGCCAAAACAATCTTGAAAACACAGGAAGATTTACACTAACTTACTTCAAGACTTATAAAGCTAGAAGAATCAAGACAGTGTGTTGTTGGCATAATAATGAACAAAGAGATCAATGGAACAAATTAAGTCCAGAAACAGAATCACATGTATATAGTCAACTGATTTTCAACAAAGTTCCAAAGCAACTTAAGGGAGAAAGAAAAGTGAACAAACATTACTGGAAGACCTATACATCCATGTGGGAAAAAAACTGACCTCGACCCTACCTCAACAATACAAAAAAATTAATTCAAAATTGATCACAGGGACTTCCCTGGTGGCGCAGAGGTTAAGACTCTGTGCTCCCAATGCAGGGGGCCCAGGTTTGATCCCTGGTCAGGGAACTAGATCCCACATGCATGCTGCAACTAACAGTTCGCATGCCACAACTAAGGAGCCCGCGAGCCACAACTAAGGAGCCCAGCTGCTACGACTAAGACCCAGCGCAACCAAATAAATAAACATAATAAATATTTTTTAAAAACTTTAAAAAACTGATTACAGATACAAACATAAAAGCTAAAACTATAAAGCTTCTTCGAAGAAAACATAGATACAACCTAAATACCCATCAGAAGAATAGATCAACAAGTTCTGAAATATTCATACAATATAGTACTATCTAGCCAAAAAAAGAGAAAAACCCTGCTACTGATATATGTAACAACAGAACCTCACAGACATTTTATTGAGTGAAAGAAACCAAACACAGCATATGATTCATTTTTTTTTTATGATTCAATTTTATATGAAATTCTGGAAAAGACAAAATTAATCTATGGTAAAAATTTCAGAGCAATAGTTGCCTCTAGGCCTAGGAGAATGACTGGAAAAGGGCATGAGGAAATTTTCTTGGGTGATGAAAATCTGCTAAGTCTTGATTAGAGAGGGGTTACAGTTATGATGCATTTGTCAAGATTCACTGAATTCTATACTTAAAAGTTGTGGGACTTCCCTGGTGGTGCAGTGGTCAAGAATCTGCCTGCCAATGCAGGGGACACGGGTTCGAACCCTGATCCAGGAAGATCCCACATGCCACAGAGCAACTAAGCCTGTGCACCACAACTACTGAGCCTGCACTCTAGAGCCCACGAGCCACAAATACTGAGCCCATGTGCCACAGCTACTGAGGCCTGCGTGCCTGGAGCCCGTGCTCCACAACAAGAGAAGCCACGGCAATAAGAAACTCGCGCACCACAGGGAAGAGTAGCCCCCATTCGCCACAACTAGAGAAGGCCCTCGTGCAGCAACGAAGACCCAACACAGCCATAAATAAATAAATAATTTTTAAAAAGTGTTGTGAATTTCATGATTTATATATTTTACCTCAATAACAAAAAAAAAAGCTTTAAACAAACATTGAACTCTAATTAGTAGGCTTGGTTTACCAGTTATAAAGTTACTTCCTGTGTTTTCTCATGTGTGAACAAACATATAAATATGTTGAATATAATGGGAGCTGATTTCCCACTCTTGGAAAGATATATAGATTTCCTAACTGTCTGCTGAGAGGGACCAAAGCAAGGACACACAAGTAGCAATAAACACACCCTGTAATCAGATCTTGGTTTCTCAATACCCTTCTCCACTAAAAGGAACCAGGCCGCCTTCGAGATATGATTGATTCTAGGGTAAGAAAAATTCAAGATCCACATGGAACATCTATATGCCCAAAAGTAAAAGACTGCTCAAAAAATGATGGGGACAAGTCCAAAGGACAAAGAAGCCACCATAAAGAGACTCCCACTGACAGTTCAACAGTGACCCAGTGACCCACAGCCTCTGGCAATTTTCCTCTCACCTCATCAGTGGGCTGTTCCTGTGGCAGGAACCACATCCTTTCTTCAGAGGTCTGAACCTCTCCCCTGTGGGTGGAAAAGTAGCACTTCGTTTAAGTTTCTAAGTTGCTTCCTTGTTAACCCATCTTCAGCCCTCAAGGGCTGTATTTTGTAGTTCCTACTTCTGTAAGATTTGTGTGTAACTTACAGTCCTCTCTTACCCCTTTTAGTAATTATTTTTTACTAAAAAACGACTCTTTATACTAAATTTTTCCTTAAAATGACTCATGTGGTATCTGTCTTCTGATTGGATGCTGAGTGATACAGGATCATTATTTCCCTCTTAGTCCTATCAAGAAATGCATACCTAAACCAGGAGGCAACATCAGACCAAACCAAAATGAGAGACATTCTACAAAATAAGTGACCTGTACTTGTCCAAATTTCAAGGTCAAATAAGATAAAGAAAAATGACAACTAATTGCAGTGTGTGACTCTGGCTTTGCTTCTGTGGTTGGGAAAGGGTAAAAAAGTGCTATAGTTCCTAATTTTGATAATTATACTGTGGTAATGTAAGAATGTCTTTATTATTAGGAAATACACAATGATGTACTTAGTGGTAATGGGGAACTTACCCTCAGATTGTTCAAAATAAAAGTGTCTGTGTGTGTGTGTGTGTGTGTGTGTGTGTGTGTGTGTGTAGGGAGGATGTGGGGGGGGAGAGACCAATAAAGCAAATGGGGCAACATGTAAATACTTGGCAAATCTAGGTAGAGTGTATACAAGAGTTCTTTGTACTCTTCTTGCATCTTTTCTAAAATGTTTAATTTATTGATATATTAAAATTGAAAATTACCAAAAACAAATTTAGCCCTTGAAATATGTTAAATATGATCATTTTTTAAAGGAGGGCATCAATAAAAGTTCAAAATTGAAATCTGGTTCAAGATGGCAAATAGAATACATGCATAATGGGTCTGAGAAACTACCAAACAAATATCAAAAGATTGCTAAGCAGATCAGAAAACGTGAGCAGGTAGAGTGTATTTGACAGTGAAACCACAGCAAAACCTGTAACAAAAAACTCACACAGGACAAAGCTCTTGAGAGGTTAAAAAAGGCATTCCCAACAGAGCTCCCACCTGAGAGTCGACAAAAGAGCAGGTCTGGGACAATTTTCAAAGCCATGAATTGAAGCAAGCATCAGAATACCTAGCTCTTTCACGCACCCTTCCCTTTTCTGCACATACTAAAGAGGAGGCAGCCTCAACATTTGATTTTAGGAACCTCCTAGAAGCGCTTTCTTAATATTTTTATTGGAGTATAGTTGATTTACAATGTGTTAGCTTCTGCTGTACAGCAAAGTGAGTCAGTTATAAACACACGTATATCCGCTCTTTTTTTAGATTCTTTTCCCATATAGGTCATTACAGAGTATTGAATAGAGTTCCCCGTGCCATTCAGCAGATTCTTATTAGTTATCTAATCTATATATAGTAGTGTGTATGTGTCAATAGACAAATTACTTTTATTATTAGAAAGCAACTCATCTTTCAATTTTCGTATTTTTTACTTAAGACACATCCAAACCCAACCCAGATATACCACCTAGCCTGAATTGAATGTACCAGTTAATAAACAAATACAGTTTCCTATAGTCAGTATAACGCAGTGTCGACAGCATGAACTCTGGACTGTATACACAACCTATATAACTAACTTATCCCTAAATGATGGAGCCGGAATACTGACTCCATAACTTAGTAGCTGTGGGGCCCAGGGTAAGTTAAAAAAAAAAAAAGTCACTTAGCCTCTGTCGCCTTTAATTTACTCATCCGTAAAATGGGGATAAGATACTTCCTCAGTAAGCTGGTCGTGAAGGTGAAGTGAACTGATACTCGTTTAAAACACGTACAACAGTGCCGGGTTTCTCACAGTGTCAGCTTCTATTATTATTCGATTCAAAACGCTGTTCCAGCTCTGGTGAACACAAAGAGGAATCAAAATCCAGTCGCCATCCGAGGAGACGTTGGGAGGCACACGCAAATGCAACGAGGAATCAAAGCAGAAAGAAACCAGACTAAAGCCAGGTGCGAGCAGCCAGCAGGCACTGGGAGGACGGAACGGTTCCAGCTGAAAAGGTTGAGTCCAGGAGTCACAGGAGCCTCTGAACCGAGTTCTATGAACGGGTAGGACTTCCACACACGGCTAAGACGCCACACGTGAGAGACACCGCAAAGGATCTTAGCAAAGGCGCAAAGACCAAAAATTGACTTGTCTCGGTCAGCAGAAGTGGCTGCAGAGTGTTTATCACACAAAATGCCGGAGGGATGATAAGGCTAACTGTAATAGTAAACCCTGCCGCACCTCACGGTGCTAAACCGGAGACAGGACGTAAAGAACAAAAGTGACGGTAAGAAAGCCAGGAGGACCACGACCCAGTCGCTCTCCACTATCCTCCAGGGACAACGCGACTCGTGGCCAGCACACAGCGAACCAGCGTCCCCCTCAGGCGGCAGACGTTCTGAAGCAGCAACCAGCACGAGAACTACAGCTCCCGCCGCAGCCTGGGGATCTGGCCCCGCCCCGCAGTTCCACTTCCGCCGCCCTCCGGTCCGACCTACCAGGGAGCGAGCCTGGCGCCTGACCGCGCGTGACCCCCGCGTGACAGGGGCCCGAGCCGAGAGGCCAGGAGGTGGGAGTCTGGGACCCCACTCAGGAGAAAGGCGACCCGCAAAGGTGGAACTAAACTTGCAAATCTCGATAGGTTTTGATGCCGCGGGGGCGGAGCCTAAGGCCCACGGTCCTGGCCAATCAGCGTCCGGGATGATCTGAGAGGCCGGGAAGGGGAAAGCAGCGAAACGGTTCTACCGTGACATGCCGCGGGGTCTAGTGGGAGGAGCAGTTGCCCAGCGGCCGCCCGGCACTTCCTGTTTCCGGTTCCCGGAGTGGAGCCCTGCGAGGCGCTCGTTGGGTCGCTGGCTCTGCCGCGAGCTCTGGAACCGGGGTCTGCGGCCGGCCTCTCGCTGGTGCTGTCTCCCAGCCGCGAGCAGGTACTCGGCCGGGGATTCTGAGCTGTGGCTGCTCCCTTTGCCTGTGACACGTGAGTATGAGGGGCGTGGAGGAGTGGGCTGGAGAGCGCTCACCCCTCGTGGCTGTGACGGGGGCCGGGATTGCTGAGTCTCCCTTGACCCGGGTTCTAGCCCAAAAATCCAGCTAAGGAGCCCGAGGGTAGAAAGGCGGAGGCGTAAGGTTGGGGAGTTACAGAGTCGCCAAGGGAGTGAGGGAGAGAGGATCTCCAAGACCAGAGTTTGGAAGGCAGGGAAAGGAAGGTCGCTAAGTCTGGAGTCTGTTCGAGGTGTTACTGGATACCCGTAGACGGGATTTTGGCCCGCATCGTACAGGGAGGTCAGGTGGCATCATTTGTAGAGGGTATGGCCCTAAGCATTTGCAAAGTCGGGAGACTAGACGGGACGCGAATGTCTGGAAGCCTGGAAGAAGTTTGAGGGAGATGAGTGTATGGTACGAAGAGTCGCCAATAGAGGGATTTGCGTTCCTTTTTGGAGAGAGCTTCCGCCCTTGGGCTAGAGCTGCTTTCTTAAGTCTTTTCAACCTTGGGCGGTTCAGCTAGTTAGGGCTGCTCTTCTGAAAGTGTGGGCTGCTGGAGACAGGAGATAAGGGCCGTCGCCATCAGAAATGAGCCAGAGAGAAGAAAGTAGAAATTCCACCGAAAAACAGAAAATGGTCATGGCTAGTCTGGGGGAAGTGAGTGGTACAGAGGCCTAGTGATGTAAAGTGTTTCCCAATTCCTGGCTTAGTCATTGGTCATCCCATTGGAGGAGAATTTTTTAGCCTTAACTGTATGGATCTATCGTAGTAGAACAAGAAAATTGAAAGGGATTTTTCAAAATCTTTAAGTCCTGCCGCTTGTTTCCAAAGTATCTAGGACAAACTCTTGCATCTTGAGAATCTAATTGTAGCACAATTAGATGTAAAAAGGGACTACCCAGCCCTTGGATTTCATACTCTTAGGAATACATTTTTGCACTCCTTTATTTATCAGAAAATAGCTTTATACCATGACTCATTCAAGTTGCCTTACTAATAACTTCATACATGTTTAATACTTGTATAACCTAAGGCAAGTAACTTAAGCTCTGTAGGAATCAGTTTCCTCATCTGTAAAATGGGAGAAATTATATCTACTTTTCTGGGTTGTGAAGATTGATGAACATAATCTAGATAAAGCACTTAGAGCATATGCCACTGAATCAAAGAGAAGCAGCTCAAACGTAGCCAACCCTTAAGCAGGAAAGAGAAGAATATATCTCTTTTTATCTCCTATCTTTTTGAACCAATAATTAAATGAAAGCTAGTTCAACTCAACTAATGCTGGCTGCAGGGTGTTCAGCCCTTCTTCCTTTTGCAGTTTTGTGAGAGTCTTTGTTCTAATTTGGGAAAAGAAATCATCAACTGTTAACAGATAAGGAACTAACTTTGAAGCCAGAGAACACAATCTTGTGTGTGAGCATCCCCCCAGAAAATGGTCCTGGATAAAAGAATATTGAAAGCACAGAAAGTTGAAATTTCAAATTGGGTCCTGCAAGAATATAAAGAAAATGTCATGCTTAATCAATCTACTAAAAGGAGCTTCTTATTTTAGTCAGCTGGTCAAGTTGTGTGGATCAGTAAGTGAATTTAGAGAAGGTAGGAGTTTGAGGTCTGGGTTCTTTATTCTGCCTCCTATTTAGTGAACCATGTGAGGAGTCACTTCCCCTTCTTGCTTTGTCAAAATGAAAGCAAGACTTTGACTGCCTACTCTGATCCCCAAAAAACTTAATGTGAAAGGAATGGTTAAGTGTAGACCATGAGCTCAGAGCTGCACTATCTGGTTCATGCCACTAGCTGTGTCTAGTTTTCTCCTCTGTAAAATAAGGACAGTCGTATTTACTGCATAGGGTTTTTGTAAGGCTTAACTCGTTAATGTATGTTAAATGCCTAGCAAAAGGCAAGCACTCTATTAAGTGTTTCCTGTTGATGCTTTGTATGTGTTTATGGGAGCCTCAGACTTTGTGGCTGGCTATACTTATTCTATGGAAACACCTTATTAATATTACTACAATGAATTGATGTTTGGAGTACACCAAGTCGGGGAGATGACTTCCCAAGTATTGGTTGCCCTAGTGGAATGTGGGAAACGGAATGTCAAATGTGGGACTTTCCTGGTGGCGCAGTGGTTAAGAGTCCGCCTGCCAATGCAGGGGACACGTGTTCGATCCCTGGTCCGGGAAGATCCCACATGCCGCAGAGCAACTAAGCCCGTGCACCACAACTACTGAAGTCCACGCGCCTAGAGCCCGTGCTCCACAACAAGAGAAGCCACCGCAATGAGAAGCCCACACACTGCAACAAAGAGTAGCCCCCGCTCACCGCAACTAGAGAAAGCCCGCGCTCAGTAATGAAGACCCAACACAGCCAAAAATAAATAAATAAAATAAATTTTAAGAAAAGAATGTCAAATGTAAGTTCATTTAGCTCTTTATCATGGTGCCTCAGAGGCAGTTGGCCACTTCAGGATGAAGTTGAACATCTCTTTCCCAGCCAATGGCTGCCAGAAACTCATTGAAGTGGACGATGAACAAAAACTTCATACCTTTTGTAAGAAGCATATGGCCACAGAAGTTGCTGCTAATGCTCTGGGTGAAGAATGGAAGGGTTATGTGGTCTGAATTGGCGGGAACAACAAACAAGGTTTTCCCCATGAAGCAGGTGTCTGGACCCATGGTAGAGTCTACCCGCTACTGAGTAAGGGGCATTCCTGTTACAGACCAAGGAGGACTGGAGAAAGAAAGCACAGATCTGTACGGGGTTGCATTGTGGATGCCAATCTGAGTGTTCTCAACTTGGTCATAGTGGAAAAAGGGGAGAAGCATATTCCTGGACTCACAACTTCGCCTCGTCAGCTGGGGCCCAAAAGAGCTAGCAGAATCCACAAACTTTTCAGTCTCTCTCTATGTCCGCCAGTATATTGTGAGAGAAAACCCCTAAACAAAGAAGGTAAGAAACCTAGGACCAAAGCACACAAGACTCAGCGTCTTGTTACTCCACGTGTTCTGCAACACAAACGTCAGCATATTGCTCTGAAGAAACAAAATACTAAGAAAATAAGGAAGAGGCTGCAGAATATGCTAAACTCTTGGCCAAGAGAATGAAGGAGGCCAAAGAAAAACAACAGGAACAGATTGCCAAGAGACGGAGGCTGTCCTCTGAGAGCTTCTACCTCTAAGTCTGAGTCCAGTCAAAAGCGAGATGTTCTAAGAGTAACAAATAAATGAGATCAGACATCCAAAAAAAAAATGTTAGTTTGTTTAGGAGAGTGGAGAAAATTTATTCAGGTACCTATTAGTACCCATTAAATTCTGCCTGTTTTAAGTTTTATATGCTAAAAATGCAGTGGAGTCAGTGGACCAGCATGACAAAGAATTAGAGGACTTTAAAAGAGTATTCAAACCAAAGTCCAGACTTGTAGTATGGAAGCATTTTATCATAAGTGAGAAAAGTTTGGAAGAATTGAATCTTTGTATCAGAAAAATTGGTGATACTGTTATAAAATTAACAAGTAGTGATGGCCTAAGGGATCATTAATGGATACCAAAGTGATTTCTTTTGAAAGGGTAAATCAGTGGATCCTGGGTATAAAGATGGAGTTAGAGAAAAGAAAATGAGTTTGGGAAACAGCCGCACGCTGCCATTCCTAAAGCAGTACAAGCATCAGATGAATTGGATTTGCTAAATTGTAAAGTGACGTGATGAATTCCTAGAGTTATCAGCAATTGGAAGCTAGAAACTCTTGAGGTTCATGACTTGTAGAGCCTGAGGTGGCTTTTGGAATACTTATTCAAACCACTCATTTGGACCTAGTGAATTTTGTTCTTCCTATCATTTAAATGATTGAATGATTTTTCAGAGGTGAGACATCAGAACAGGTAGATGTCGAGTTTTAGGTGCTGTGGCGGTGTTTCTCTCTGTTCATCATTCTTATGGTGAATATGAACAAAGACTGTTAGATGCTCCTGAATATTAAAATGAGGACTTAGGTCCCAAAGTATTCAAGTCTTTTTCTCTATTTTACATCTTTCTTAATAACTTCCAGCTGGCCCTTATCAAGTGTCAGTTGTAATTCGAGTATTATCTTATGGAGGGCCACTGGGTTAAGCAGTATTTATGGACCAGTACTGAACGCTAAATAATGAGACATCTTAATCTAATTTCTTGCCAGATGGTAAAGAGGCAAGGATGTCGCCACCAGGCTGTCATAATTTAATTCTTTTTGTTCTTTCCTTTCCCTCTTCTCAGCCCCATAGTTTGTTCTGAAGGACTTACCTATGAATTAGACTGAAAGTGATTGATATATAGAGTTTCCCGACACAGGTGATAGATATATATGTGCATGTGTGTATATACATATATATGTATATCTGTATATGGGTTTCCTAACACAGGTGCTCTTGGCACAGAGATATTAAAAGGTAATATTTGTTGCATATGCCAAAGAATCTTATAGTTTCTGCATAATCAAAATACTGTTCATTGGTCACACTTAAGTATTCTCTAG